GAGTGAGACCTCGTCTATTGAGAAATATATATCTGCTGATAAATATGTCCACAATTTAGACCACACTTAGACACTGAAGTTATTGCCAGTTCCTTCATACGCACATGCCTTAACTCTCTTGCCTTCGTGCATTCCTTCACTTCATTCATTCGCTTAACTTCCATCCAGCAGATATCTGCCAAGCACCAGCTCTGTGCCAGACACTGAGGTTGGGGGTGCCAAGGACACCTTTACCAACCGGACAGACACTGCCCTGCACTCCTGGCTCTGTGGCTTTCCTAGGAGCCCATGTCCCTCCAGCAAATGTTTCTTTTATTTTTATTTTTATTTATGTATTTATTTTGAGACAGAGTCTTGCTCTGTTGCCCAGACTGGAGTGCAAAGGCGTGATCTTAGCTCACTGCAACCTCTGCCTCCCAGGTTCAAGCAATTCTCCAGCCTTAGCCTCCCGAGTAGCTGGGATTACAGGTGTGCACCACCACGCCTCGCTAATTTTTGTATTTCTACAAAATACAAAAGAATACAAAATACAAAAGTCTATGGCCTCGCGTGTTCGTTTAGTAAGTGTCCATTTATTGATTGAGTCTTCATTCACTCTTTCTCTTAATGTCCTTATTCATTCATTCATCCATCCCTTCCTCATCTCACTAACACATCCATTCAGTCTTCATATATGTTTTCATTCCTTTATTCTCCAGGCATCCTGGAAGTACCCACTCTACACCACGCCAGGGTTAGATGCTGGGATTCTGGCCCAGCCCACCACCCTGCCAAGCCCATGGGGACGCAGATGGTGAGGACATAGTGGTAACTACTTCACCAGTTATTGGGATTCAGAGCTGGGGGAGCACCAAGAAGGGAGCAATTCACTTCCTGGAGGTGGGGGGTAGGAGGGGCAATCTGAGAAGGCTTCTTGGAGGAAGTAGCATTTTGGCCAAGTTGAGAAGCCTGTGTGAGAGTTCTCTAAGGAGGAAAAGATGCTTTGTTTTGTAGACAAAAGTCTTTGTTCTGTGGAGTGTTTGGAGAAAAGTGAGATACTGGTTGCTAACGTGTGTGGTGCTGGGTGAGTTTGTGTGCCTGGCCCCACCCAGGTCAAGCCATCCCCAGGTTCCAATGACAGACCTGGGCCACTAAGGATCCTTGATTCCACCCTGAGCTCCTAGAAAACCACCCACTATCAGGCAGCCAGGAACGACCTTTGGAGAACAAACATGTCACCCTCCAGGTACCATCCACTTGTCCACCTGTTCATCCCCCTGGGGACTCAGTGGGAGGGCAACCCTGTCCCTAGGAGCCCATGTCCCTCCAGCAAGTGCTTCTTTTATTTTTATTTATTTATTTATTTTGAGACAGAGTCTTGCTCTGTTGCCCAGGCTGGAGTGCAAAGGTGTGATCTTAGCTCACTGCAACCTCTGCCTCCCGGGTTCAAGCAATTCTCCAGCCTCAGCCTCCCGAGTAGCTGGGATTACAGGTGGGCACCACCTTGCCTTGCTAATTTTTGTATCTCTAGTAGAGACGGGGTTTCACCACGTTGGCCAGGCTGGTCTCAAACTCCTGACCTCAGGTGATCCGCCCACCTCGGCCTCCCAAAAGTGCTGGAAGCCACCGCGCCCGGCTGGAATTCTTTAAGTAAGAGGCATGATTAAATATTACGAGAGCACAGAAGAATGGCTATTTTCTTTGTATGACTAAAGCCTCAGGGTTAGCAGGTATATTGTCAGCGAGGTAATGGTGTAGGGTTTTGTGATCAGTGGTACAAGAGAAGGAAAAAGGGAAAGGATGTGAAGGAGAAGCTCTGTCCAGTTCCTGTTCTGTTTCTCTGGGAGCTGGCCAGACATTCACAGCTGGGTCTTGGTATTCTCTTGTCAAACAAAAGTAATTTCCAGGACACCAACATCACACAAGACCATTCCATGACCACAAAAGCCTGGTGCGGTGGCTCATGCCTGTAATCCCAGCACTTTGGGAGGCTGAGGCAGGTGGATTGCCTGAGGTTAGGAGTTCAAGACCAGCCTGACCAACATGGAGAAACCCCATCTCTACTAAAAATACAAAATTAGCCGGGGTGGTGGTGAATATCTGTAATCCCAGCTACACGGGAGGCTGAGGCAGGAGAATCGCTTGAACCCGGGAGGCGGAGATTGCGGTGAGTGGAGATCGCGCCATTGCACTCCAGCCTGAGCAAATAGAGCGAAACTCTATCTCAAAAAAAAAAAAAAAAAAAAGAATTTCCAGAGACTGGACTTAAGAGATCCAAATATCAAATGAAGCCTGCAGAATGTCCCACCTCAGGAAGGAATGCTGAACAATTGATTGACACCCTTGTTGCCACCAGCCAGACTACCAGGTGAGTTATTACTCAAGATAACCATCGCAACCAGATATGCGACCTGCATACCCTCACGTGCTTTGCCCAGCCCAGTCTGCATACCCTACCCCGATGTCAGTTCCCATGCTTTGTCTAATAAAAAAAAAGTCCTGGCCGGGCACGGTGGCTCACGCCTGTAATCCCAGCACTTTGGGAGGCCGAGGCGGACGGACCACGAAGTCAGGAGATTGAGACCATCCCGGCCAACATGGTGAAACCCTGTCTCTACTAAAAGACAAAAAATTAGCTGGGCGTGGTGGCGTGCACCTGTAGTCCCAGCTACTCAGGAGGCTCAGGCAGGAGAATTGCTTGAACCTGGGAGGCGGAGGTTGCCGTGAGCCGAGTTCGTGCCACTGCACTCCAGCCTGGTGACAGAGCAAGACTCCGTCACACACACACACACACACACACACACACACACACAATTCCCACTGGTTTTTCCACAAATCAGCTGGAGGATCCCTTCACTTCTGCTGCCATCGTCTCCCCTACACTCAAGCACAAGCTCTGAAATAAACACCTTTTCTGGAAAATCTGCTTGGACCCCTGTTAAGTTTCATTACAAGTGGAGCCAAAGAGACTGTGGTCTGTAACCCCAAATGTATGTGAGCAACAGCTTTTCTCTCTCTCTCTCTCTCTTTCTCTTTTTGAGACGGAGTCTTGCTCTGTCGCCCAGGCTGGAGTGCAGTGGCACAATCTCGGTTCACAGCAACCTCCGTCTCCCAGTTTCAAGCTATTCTCCTGTCTCAGCCTCCGGAATAGCTGGGATCACAAGCACACACCACCGTACCTGGCTAATTTTTGTATTTTTAATAGAAATGGAGTTTCACCATGTCGGCCATGCTGGTCTTGAACTCCTGACTTCAAGTGATCCGCCTGTCTCGGCCTCTCAAAATGTTGAGATTACAGTTTTGAGCCACCATGCTGGGCCTTTTCTCTTTCTCAATGTCAACTAAACAAAAAATCAGGCTTTTAAAAAATTAAGGTTAGTTTTTTTCAATCTTACTGAGGACTGTAACCAGGGAAAGTCTTTCACAGAGTTAAACTGCTCCAAAACAGAGTTTCAGCACACATTTTATATTTATATTTATATACAGTTTATATACAAACATTTATACACAGTTGTTGGTGCTCTGCATGTGCTCAGAAGTTGTATCAGTCCAGGCGTGGTGGCTCATGCCTGTAATCCCAGCACTTTGGGAGGCTGAGGTGGGCGGATCACCTGAGATGAGGAGTTCAAGACCAGCCTGGCCAACATGGTGACTCTGTCACTACTAAAAATACAATAATTAGCCGGGCATGGTGGGGGGTGCCTGTAATCCCAGCTACTTGAGAGACTGAAGCAGGAGGATCGCTTGAACCTGGGAGGTGGAGGCTGCAGTGAGCAGAGATTGTACCACTGTGCTCTAGCCTGGGCAACAGAGTGAGAGTCTGTCTCAAAAAAAAAAAAAAAAAAAAAAAAAAAGTTGTATCTAATATGCTCAGAAGTTACAATAGAGCAAAATTTCATCAAGGCTTGTGTGTGAGGGTATATCTAGTTATAGATTATAGAGGCTTGGCTGGGCATGATGACTCACGCCTATAATTTCAGCACTTTGGGAGGCCCAGGCAGGAGGATCACTTGAGCCCAGGAGTTCAAGACCAGCCTGGGCACCACAGCAACACCTTGTCTCTGCAAAAAATAAAAATAAAAAAATTAACTGGGCGTGGTGGCATGCGCCTATGGTCTCAGCTACTTGGGAGGCTGAGGTGGGAGGAGTGCCTGAACCCGGGAGTTCAAGGCCGCAGTGAGCTATGATCGAGTCCCTGCATTCCAGCCTGGGCAACCAAGCAAGATCCCGTCTCTAAAACAAAAACAAAAAAACAAAAACCAAAAAACAAAAAAAAAGTTATAGAAGCATAACCGTTAATACTGTCAGAGATTATGTACAGGAAGAGGCAAGGGCTAGGATCATTGAATTTGTCTTTTCCAAAAATGCAGTGATTGGCAAGAAAGGTGGGAACCTGTGTTTTCTCTCTCCCTCCCTCCAGTTTATTGTTCAGGGAGTTATTGGAGAGGGCTGCGCTCAGTCACGAGTCAGGGCCTTTGTGAAATCCTGCTTGCAAGCAGAATGAGCAGACATGGTTCCTTAGGTTTACTACTTTGTCTCACACTACAAAAGGGTCATTCATTGGCAGAGGTGTATTTACTGGGGGCCAGGTATAGAGTAATTCGAGAGGGACAAAGGAGGCAGGTCCCAGTCTTCAGGGAGCTCAGTGACATGTTTGCGCTGTTTTATGTAAACAGGAGATTGTCAGAAATGGAGGGGGGACCAGACCCAAGGAAGCGCCCGGACAAAGGCGGGAGGCGAGGAGTGCTGATGGAGTGGAGGTGCCGAGAGCATCAGCAGGGCTGCTCGGTGGCACGAAGACGCCCGCGGGGACAAGAGAGGTCGGCTAGGGCCAGGTTACTCAGGCACGGAGGGCCACCTCCCCTCCAGGGACGTGAGCATCTAGCTGCACTGATTTGTTGTTCAGGAACAGGAAATGAAACCCCACAGCTTTGATTACAATAACCCACGCCAGCCTCAGGCTCATGAATATTCAGCAGGCTGCTTCCGGCTCGCAACCCCGCCTCCGTCCCCCTCCGCGGAGACTGCGTCTGCGTCGCCGGCGCGCGGCTCTGTCGTCATACTTGCGCGCCGTCGCCGCCGCCGTTGCCGCTCGCCGGGGAAACTGGAAGGCTGCCATGGCGAGCTCCGCCGCCTCCTCCGTGCGACCGCCGAGGCCCAAGAAAGAGCCGCAGACGCTCGTCATCCCCAGGAATGCCGCGGAGGAGCAGAAGCTTAAGCTGGAGCGGCTCATGAAGAACCCGGTGAGACGAGGCCTACCCCCTTCCTCTGCAGAGCCTCTGGGTTCCCGCAGGTCCACCTTCTCTACCTCCAAATTCAGAAACTTGGTATCCGACCCTCCCAGAGCAGTCTTTGGGGAAGAGGAGGAGGAGGCTGTCCTGGAGATAAGTGAACTTCCCGTCCTTGTGTGAGAGCCCAGCTTGAATGAAAGCACGGTGTAGCGGCTTCCCGCTAAGACCCCTTCTAGTTTAACTTTCTGTGAACAAAAAGCGTTAGACTGAAAAGGTAGAATTTGTGGGTTAGCAAAAGGGTATTTTCTAAACAACGCGGATCGTTAGAGAGTGGCAGAGACGTTTGGAGCGAGTTACTCCTCTCCCGCCCACACCCCCTCCGGGCCTCGGTCCCCTCAATCATAAAAACAATCGAACGGGAAACGTCCTTTATACCTTTGACCAGAAAAACTTGACTCTTCTCCCCTCGTAGTGTTAAAGTTGGCGATTTCTAGCTGGAAACTCTGGCTTAGGTTTCTCAGTTCTGCTCTGGAAAGTGTAACCCTGGGAAGGTGTGGACTGTGTTATACCCAAGAGTACATAGGATGAATAAAGCTACGACAGAGGGAAGAACACAAAATCAGCTCTGTGTCCAAGCAGCAAAGCAATCCTGCTTCATTAGTCAATTAAAATTCTTTGGTGATAAGAAATGTAACTTGGGGCCGGGCGCGGTGGCTCAAGCCTGTAATCCCAGCACTTTGGGAGGCCGAGACGGGCGGATCACGAGGTCAGGAGATCGAGACCATCCCGGCCTATACGGTGAAACCCCGTCTCTACTAAAAAATACAAAAAAACTAGCCGAGCGAGGTGGCAGGCGCCTGTAGTCCCAGCTACTCGGGAGGCTGAGGCAGGAGAATGGCGTAAACCCAGGAGGCGGAGCTTGCAGTGAGCTGAGATCCGGTCACTGCACTCCAGCCCGGGCGACAGAGTAAGACTCCGTCTCAAGAAATGTAACTTGGGGTGGACTTTGTGTAATCTCAGCGCTTTGGGTTGCTAGGCGGGAGAATGGCCTGAGGCCAGGAAGGAGTTCAAGACCAACCTAGGCAACATAGCCGGTCCCTGTCTCTACAAAAATAAAAAAATTGCTTGGCATGGTGGTGCACACCTGTGAGTCCTAGCTACTCTGGAGACTGAAGCGGGAGGATCACTTGAGCCCAGGAGTTCAAGGCTGCAGTGAGCTATGATTGCACCACTGCACTCCAGCCTGAGGGACAGAGCAAGAAGCTGTCTCTAAAAAGAGAGAGAGGTAATTTTGTTAGCAGATTTATACTTAGAAATGCTTTCATGTTTAAATGTTGCAGGACAAAGCAGTTCCAATTCCAGAGAAAATGAGTGAATGGGCACCTCGACCTCCCCCAGAATTTGTCCGAGATGTAATGGGTAATGTCTGTGTGTTTGTGTGTGTGTGTGTGTGTGTGTGTGTGTGTGTGTGTGTGTGTGTATAAATACAATGTTTTAAGGTAGCTATAAAAGCCCTGTAGTTAGTATTTGTTAAATCTCTGATGAGGGGAAATGTTTACATGTTCAGTGTTTTGCTTTTACAATGACGGGGATATAGTTGCTTTTATTTGTTCATTTGACATCAGTAAATTTAGCTTAAAGGTTATAGTTGCTTATGGTTTGGTACTATGGAATTTTTTCCTGCACTGTTGCTTTTTTTTTTTCTTTTTTTCTTTTGGAGACAGAGTCTCACTCTGTCACCCAGGCTGGTTTGCAGTGACACCATCTCGGCTCACTGCTACCTCCGCCTCCCGGGTTCAAGCGATTCTCCTGCCTCAGCCTCCTGAGTAGCTGGGACTACAGGCCTGTGCCACCACTCCTGGCTATTAGTAGAGACTGGGTTTCACTATGTTGGCCAGGCTGGTCTTGAACTGCCGACCTCAGGTGATCCGCCTGCCTTGGCCTCCCGGAGTGCTAGCATTACAGCTGTGAGCCACTGTGCTCAGCCATCTCCTGCGTTATTCTTAATAACGCATTGTGGGTTTTTTTGTAAATAAAAATAGTTTTATTATTTTGTTGGATCATAAATTACATACTACAGGCATACCATGGAATATGCGGTTATCCAGGCAACCAGTTAAAGTGATGTCCAATAAAGGAATCATGCGGGGGTGGCTCAAGCTAATCCAGCACTGGCAGGCCAACGGGCGGATCACGATTGAATCAGACCACTGCTAACACGGTGAAACCCGTCTCTACTAAAAAAAATACAAAACTCCGGCGAGGGGCAGGCCTGTGCCCAGTATCGGAGCTGACAGGAAATGGCGTAACAGGTGAGTTGAGTGAGCGAGATCCCCTCACTCCACTGGGACAGAGAACCCTTAAAAAAAAAAAAAAAATAAAAAAATAAAAGGAATCATATAAATTCTTTAGTTTCCTAGTGTACATACAAGTTTATACTCTACTGTACTTTAATGTGCAGTAGCATTATGTCTTTAAAAAGCAACGTAGGCCAGGCGTGGTGGCTCATGCCTGTAATCCCAGCACTTTAGGAGGCTGAAGCAGGAGAACTGCTCGAGTTTGAGACCAGCCTGGGCAACATAGGAAGACCTCATCTCTACTAAAAATGTAAAAATTAGCCAGGCATAGTGGTGCACGCCTATGGTCCCAGCTACTTGGGAGGCTGAGGCAGGAGGATCGCTTGAGCCCAGGAGGTCGAGGCTCAAATGAGCTGTGATTGTGTCACTGCACTCCAACTTGGGTGACAGATCAAGACCCTGTCTCAAAAAAAAAAAAAAAAAAAAACTTAAGAAAAAACACTTTTACAAAAATATGATTATTCTACATATACTACTTTGTAAGCACCTTTTTTTTCATTTAATGTATCATAGATGTCTTTTCAACTCACTGGAAATCTAGCATGACAAATGTGAAATCATAGAGGAGGTGAGAAAGTCACTTAACCACAGTCTGCCCCTCCTGATACTGAATTTGAGTGGGATTTTTAGTGACTTCACATTCAACATGTTTATAACAAATAATGACATCTACAATATGCCAGGTACTGAGCCACTTCTTTATACAGTGGGGAGAAAGGAAGGCATGGTCCCTTCCACGACTTCCACTGTTTGTTTCTTTTTTTTTTTTTTTTTGAGACGGAGTCTCGCTCTGTCGCCCAGGCTGGAGTGCAGTGGCGTGATCTCGGCTCACTGCAAGCTCCGCCTCCCGGGTTCACGCCATTCTCCTGCCTCAGCCTCCCGAGTAGCTGGGACTACAGGTGCCCACAACCGCGCCCGGCTAATTTTTTGTATTTTTAGTAGAGACGGGGTTTCACCGTGGTCTCGATCTCCTGACCTTGTGATCCGCCCGCCTCGGCCTCCCAAAGTGCTGGGATTACAGGCGTGAGCCACCGCGCCCGGCCCACTGTTTGTTTCTTTAGTCCCCTTCGATTAAGGGTGACCTGTGTTGGTAGCTGAATTTCATCTAGAACCATGGACTGTCCTGGCTACAGGTTCAAGTGCTGGGGCCGGCAGTGGAGAGTTCCATGTGTACAGACATCTGCGCCGGAGAGAATACCAGCGACAGGACTACATGGATGCCATGGCTGAGAAGGTCAGTGAGCCAGAAGGCTGGTTGAGCCCCCATGTTTGGGCAGTGTGCATGTACTGCCTTTAGAAGAAAAACATTTGAGGAGGCCAGGCATGGTGGCTCGCGGCTGTAATCCCAGCACTTTGGAAGGCCGAGACAGGGGATCACCTGAGGTCAGGAGTTTGAGACCAACCTGACCAACATGGAGAAGCCCTGTCTCTACTAAAAATACAAAATTAGCCAGGCGCATGCGTGTAATCCCAGCTACTCGGGAGGCTGAGGCAGGAGAATCGCTTGAACCCGAGAGGCGAAGGTTGCAGTGAGCCAAGATTGTGCCATTTTCTCTCCAGCCTGGGCAACAAGAGTGAAACTCTGTCTCAAAAAAAAAAAAGAAAAGAAAAGAAAAGAAAAAAGCATTTGAGGAAGAATAGATAATGCTGGTTGTGGCTGGTGTGAGGTCTGCCTTCTACGGACAGCACAGCACGCAGAGTCCAGGTAAACCCTCAGTCAGAATCAACATAGCAAGATCCTTACACTAGACGAGGGATGGAGAGTGAGAGTCTTCCTCGTGTATGAAAGGGCACAGCTGAGACCCCTTTTCCCTCTAGGCCATTTGCCATGTGATAGAACAGCAAATGGGATCCCCACACCATTTAAGTTGTTACTTCTCTGTGTCATCCTCCCTCTTCTCCCTCTTAGCTGAATGCCTAAATGCAGTTAGCTGTGCATTTGGTGTGAACAGCAGCTTGCTTTCACGACTGTGAAAGTGCATATAGTATCTGCCTCTTTGAGCATTTGAGCTTCCTGGCTCTGGAGCGGGCATTTCTTTGTGACAGGTGTCAAATAATAGACTATTTTAAGATTATTATTATTATTTTTTTTTTTTTTTTTTTGAGACGGAGTCTCGCTCTGTTGCCCAGGCTGGAGTGCAGTGGCGCGATCTCGGCTCACTGCAAGCTCCGCCTCCCGGGTTCACGCCATTCTCCTGCCTCAGCCTCCCGAGTAGCTGGGACTACAGGCGCCCACAACCGCGCCCGGCTAATTTTTTGTATTTTTAGTAGAGACGGGGTTTCACCGTGGTCTCGATCTCCTGACCTTGTGATCCGCCCGCCTCGGCCTCCCAAAGTGCTGGGATTACAGGCGTGAGCCACCGCGCCCGGCCTATTTTAAGATTATTATTAATCTATAATAATTATAGGTTATTTGAGAATTGCTTCAGAAACCATATTTTGGGGGAGGGGTCGTTTTTAGACAGGTTGTCACTCTGTCACACATGCTGGAGTGAAAGGGCGCAATCTCAGTTCACTGCAACCTCCGCCTCCTGGGTTCAAGTGATTCTCCTCCCTCAGCCTCCCAAGTAGCTGGGATTACAGGCGTGTGCCACCATGCCTGGCTAATTTTGTATTTTTAGTAGAAATGGGGTCTCACCATGTTGGCCATGCTGGTCTCGAAATCCTGACCTCAAGTGATCCACCCACCTTGGCCTCCCAGAGTGCTGGGATTACAGGCATGAGCCACCATGCCTGGCCCCCAAAAGCAGAATTTTTTCTAACTCAATTTTGGCCATTCCAATAAATTCTTACTTATTTTCTTCTGTATCCTGGCTGTCTCTTTGGTTTAAATTTTCCCTAATGTTTTATTTTGAAAATTTCAAACAGAAAAGTTAAAAGAATTATGCAACACATATATCCACTCCCCCTTGACTTAACAATTCCTGTTGTGCTGGATTTTCTTTATCACACACCTATCGATCTATCCATACCTCTATTGGTATGCATTGTATTATGTCTTCCCAGCAGTCCTGTTTCCAAGCCTCATTTTCCTCATCTATAAAATGGGGAAAATTATAATTCCTCCCTTCCAGAGCTCTACTCATACCTCTATTCCTCCCATGAATTTGTTGGTTTTTTGTTTGTTTGTTTGTTTTGGTGCATTTCAGAGTACGCTGCAAACATCAGGACGTTCCATTCTTGAACATTCAAGCACGCACATTATTAAATAGGGTTTCATATTTGTGTATGCTTTTCTTTTTCCTTTTAAAGTAGTATCTGGCCAGGAATGGTGGCTCATGCCTGTAATCCCAGCACTTTGGGAGGCCAAGGAGAAGGGGTCACCTGAGGTCAGGAGTTTGAGACCAGCCTGGCCAACATGGTGAAACCTTGTCTCTACTTCAAATACAAAAAATTAGCTGGACATGGTAGTACACACCTATAATCCCAGCTACTTGGGAGGCTGAGGCAAGAGAATCGTTTGAACCCGGGAGGTGGAGGTTGCAGTGAGCCGAGATCGTGCCATTGTACTCCAGACTAGGGGACAAGAGCGAGACTGGGTCTCAAAAAAAAAAGCATTTATTTGAACCTCTGTAAAGTGCCACAAATATATTTTACGAAATAATAGGCACCCTGGCCATACTGAGGAAAGGGACTTTTTTGGGTGCAAATTCTAAAATTAGTAACGCAACAATTCCTCACCCTTATTAGAAGAAGTCAGATGTACATTTGGAAAATCAAAAGGAACCTGCCAAATAACATTTGATTTTTTTTTTTTTTAAGAGACAGCGTCTCACTCTATTGTCTGGTTGGACCTCAGCCTCCTCTGTAGCTGAGACTAAAGGCACTTTTCTCCTGGGCATTTCTGGAGGAACTTTGGTCTCCAATTAAAAAACGACAGACCAGACAGGTACCACCCAGGTAGCACTTGACATGCCATCATACCCAGTTTTGTTTTTTTGTTTTTTTGGTTTTTTTTGAGACTGAGTCTCACTGTCGCCCAGGCTGGAGTGCAGTCGCGCGATCTCGGCTTACTACAAGCTCCGCCTTCCGAGTTCACGCCATTCTCCTGCTTCAGCCTCCCAAGTAGCTGGGACTACAGTCACCTGCCACCACACCCAGCTAATTTTTTTGTATTTTTAGTAGAGATGGCATTTCACTGTGTCAGCTAGGATGGTCTCAATCTCCTGACCTGGTGATCTGCCTGCCTTGGCCTCCCAAAGTGCTGGGATTACAGGCGTGAGCCACCACGCCCAGCCATCACACCCAGCTTTGGGTTTTATTAATAGTAAGACAGGAAGGCCGGTGCAGTGGCTCACACCTGTGATCCCAGCACTTTGAGAGGCCAAGGCAGGCAGATCACTTGAGCTCAGAAGTTTGAGACCAGCCTGGCCGACATGGCAAAACTCCATCTCTACTAAAAATACAAAAATCTGCTGAAAATTCTGTCTCAAAAAAAAACAAAAACAAAAATTAATCAGGCACAGTGGTTACGCCTGTAATCCCAACTACTCGGGAGGCGGATGCAGGAGAATCGCTTGAACCTGGGAGACGGCAGTTGCAATGAGCCGAGATTGTGCCACTGCACTTCAGCCTGGGCGACAGAGTCAGACTCTGTCTGAAAAAGAAGAAGAAAAAGTCCTGCTTTGGGCACAGGGTGGGGTCATTGTTGTGCTGGCTGTCGACTGATGCTTGCTTGTCCTGTAGTTTTTTTTGGCCCCTGGGTGTTGGTGGTGGTTCTTGTTCCTGCCATCTTCTGTTGGTAGCAATCTCAATCCTAGTGAGAAGTATTAGACAGTTTTTGTCAAAATTCTACCAGGTCACTGCAATGGGTTTGCCTGTCAAAAATAATGCTCTGTGTATAGAAGCCATCAAGCTGGGTGCGGTGGCTCATGCCTGTAATCCCAGCACTTTGGGAGGCCAAGGTGAGAGGATCACTTGAGCCCAGGAGTTTGAGCCCAGGCAACATGGCAAGACCCCATCTCTGCGAAGAATACAAAGACTAACCAGATGTGGTGGCACCTGCCTGTAGTCCCAGCTACTTGGGAGGCTGAGGTGGGAGGATGGCTTGAGCCTGGACAGTCAAGGCTGCAGTGAGCTGTGATCACACCAGTGTACTCTAGCCTGAGTGACTGAGCAAGACCCTGTCTCAGGAAGAAAGAGGGTAGGGGGTACTGAGGGAGGGAAAGGAAAAGAAACTACTATCAGAAACACTTTTATTTTTATAAACTATTTTAGAGGGGAGGACATAGAGCAGGTTGCTGTCTCAAACACTATAAATTAATCTGAAGTTTTTATATATTGATTCAAGATTCAGAGAAAATACAAAAAAATGGCCGGGCGCGGTGGCTCAAGCCTGTAATCCCAGCACTTTGGGAGGCCGAGACGGGCGGATCACGAGGTCAGGAGATAGAGACCATCCTGGCTAACATGGTGAAACCCCGTCTCTACTAAAAAAATACAAAAAACTAACACAGTGACTCTAAAAATACAAAAACCTAGGCAGGCGCCTGTAGTCCCAGCTACTCGGGAGGCTGAGCCAGGAGAATGGTGTAAACCTGGGAGGCGGAGCTTGCAGTGAGCTGAGATCTGGCCACTGCACTCCAGCCTGGGCGACAGAGCAAGACTCCGTCTCAAAAAAAAAAAAAAGAAAAAGAAAATACAAAAAAATGTTTCGCAAACCTTGGCCTCCATGTACATGCAAAAGATTCTTGTTTTGAATGGCAAAAGGCAGTTTCTTGAGATTTTTTTAAAAAGGCAAGAGCATCCTCATTTTTTAGTGACTGACAGATCACCTCCATCAAAGCCCAGTCCTACTCACCCCTGCTTGAGACATTGCCTCTGCCAGGTGCGGCAGCCAGCTGGGGCTCTGTTTCGTTTACTTGCTGGTAAATTCGGCTTCTTCAGCAGCACAGAGTAAGACATTCACAGCTCAGCCTTTTTTTTTTTTTTTTTTTTTTTTCCCTGAGACAGAGTCTCGCTCTGTCACCCAGGCTAAAGTGTGATCTTGGCTTACTGCAGCCTCTGCCTCCTGGGCTCAAGCAGTTCTCATGTCTCAGCTTCCCGAGTAGCTGGGATTACAGGCGCTTGCCACCATGCCTGGCTCATTTTTTATTTTCGGTAGAGATGGAATTTCACCATGTTGCCCAGGCTGGTCTCGAACTCTGGACCTCAGGTGATCTACCCGCCTCAGCCTCCCAGTGTGCTGGGATTACAGGCGTGAGCCACCACACCCGGCCTTCACAGCTCAGCTTCTAAGCAAACCAAATCTTTTAGAGTTAAGTCATTTGCTTTTTGGTTGTCCAGAAAGTTGGTTAATTAAAGTTGATTTCCTTCCTGAAGGAATATTTTCTGCCCTCAGAGAGAGAGCTTGTTTGATTTGGTTTCTGTGCCACTATAAGCAGATGCATACAGCCCTGGCGGTGCAGACCAGCAGAGGTGTTGAAGGCACCTCTTCGTCCTTTGCCGGCTCCTTATTTTTTGCTCCATTGACCTTTACGGCTGTTCCTGGAAGAAACGAGATGACACTTTGAATCAGTAGATGTCCTTGTAGTTTACAGGTGCATTTCTATTTTTTTGAGACAGAGCTCTCCCTCTGTCGCCTAGACTGGTGTACAGTAGCATGATTTCCGGTCACTGCAACCTCTGCCTCCCAGGTTCAAGTGATTCTCCTGCCTCAGCCTCCCGAGTATCAGCCTCCCAAAGTACTGGGATTACAGGCATGAGCCATTGTGCCCAAACCCTTATTTCATTATTCTTCCTAACAGCTCTGAGAGAGGAATTACAGTTTTCCCCATTTTATAGATGAGGAGACAGGCTTGGAGACAGAACTGCTGAGAAGTAATGCAGTCGATACAAATATATGTGTGGGTGCGTGCTTAGCAGCAGGTCATGGCAGCAGATGGCATGTGTTATGCTGCTTTAGAATCAGTCATTTGGTGGCTGGGCACAGTGGCCTGTAAACTCAGCACTTTGGGAGACTGAGGTGGGAGGATCCTTTGAGGCCAGGAGTTTAAAACCAGCGTGGACAACATAGCCAGACCTGTCTCCACAAAATAAACATAAAAATTAGCCAGATGTAATGGCATGCACCCATAGTCCCAAGTACTCAGGAAACTGAGACAGGAGGATCTGTCGAACCCAGGAGTTCAAGGTTGTAGTGAGCTATTGTGCTTACTGCACTCCAGCCTAGGCGACAGAGTAAGACCTTGTCTCAAAACCAAAACAAAAAAAACTCAGCCATCTGGTAACTGTGGTTGGGCTTAGGGCTTGAAAATTCCATGGTTCTAACCCTCCCGCCATTCCTTCTAATGAGCTCTGGGCAGTGTCCGAGGTTCCGACTGAGCAGATGATGAGCGCTGCCCTCAGGGTGTCCTCTGCACTCCCTCCTGTGTCGTCTCCTGTATCATGCTGTGCCTCAATCAACTGAAAGAGTTACTTCGCCATCGGAGAGCTATGTATTGATTATCTGCCTTGCCTCTGGTACAGGCTTTTAAAGTTAAGATGGCCCTGGGGACCCGAGTAGTGCCTCTAGCACCCCCAGTGGTGTGACTTCTAGGACTCTCCTACTTAGCCTGAGCAAAACCTCCCACAGTCTACCCAGACCTGAGCGTGTCTAAATGATGTGGGTTTTGTTGCAGCAAAAATTGGATGCAGAGTTTCAGAAGAGACTGGAAAAGAATAAAATTGCTGCAGAGGAGCAGACTGCAAAGCGCCGGAAGAAGCGGTAAGAGGCATGGCCTAACTGTGATGACACTTAAGGGCCCGGGTGGTGACGGGGTGAGCTGAGTCCTTGCAGTCGGTAGTAGTTCCTCTGCATGACCTGTAGGGGTCATGAGTGTAGAGCAGTGACATATTATCTGAGCAGAGCGCAAGTTCTTACGACCCTCCAGCTGGTTACAGCTTGTCCAGAGCTTGCAAGTCAGGACTTCAGTGATCACATTGATTTCTGTGTCTCCTTCACGTCTGCATTTTTTTTTTTTTTTTTTTTTTTGGAGACAAAGTCTCACTGTGTCCCCCAGGCTGCAGTGCAGTGGCACAATCTCGGCTCACTGCAACCTCCACCTCCTGCATTCAAGCAATTCTGCTGCCTCAGCCTCCCAAGTAGCTGGGATTACAGGTGCCCGCCACCACACCTGGCTAATTTTTGTATTTTTGGTAGAGACGAGGTTTCACCATGTTGGCCAGGCTGGTCTCAAACTCCTCACCTCAGGTGATCCGCCTGCTTTGGCTTCCCTAAGTGTTGGGATTACAGGCATGAGCCACTGCGCCCGGCTGCATCTGTATTTTAACAAGATGCTGCAGCCAAACTTCCCATTTAGCAAGTTTCTTAGATTAGGGTTTATGACTCCCTTGAGTGACTACATGGTGTACAGGCTGTGTGTTTATATGTGTATCTGTGTGTTTACATAAGTGGCCGTCAACATTTACAATTAGAGCTGAGCAGGATTCTAACAACAGCCCCTAAATATCTTGAAATGAAAAAGCATCTTTAGGGACCAGGCATGGTGGCTCACAGCTGTAATCTCAGCACTTTGGGAGGCCAGGGCAGGAGGATCGCTTGAACCCAGGGGGCTGAGGCTGCAGTGAGTTATGATCGCACCACTGCGCTCCAGCCTGGGTGACAAAGTGCAACCCTGTCTCTACAATCATAAAATTTTTTTTGAAAAAGCATCCCCGTTATTTCTAAGGTTGCTTTGCCTCAGGGCTCCCCGGGATTTGCTCTTGAATCCTAATGAAAGTAGCTGATAAGGACGGACTGGCAGAGTCATGCAAAAGTTTTGGTTGGTGCAAAAGTAACTGCAGTTTTGGACCGTGAATTTTAGATCATTATAACTAGGCTCAAATGTGTTTATTAATCAAAATAAGAACCATTACAATCAACACATTTTTGCCAATGAGAAATAAGTTTATTTCTGTAACATAAAAATCCATGCTCCGGGATCTGAAGAAGTCTTAGCGTTTTCTGCATCCTGCTGGTTGTGGAAGTGCTTTCCCTGCAAAAAGTTGTCAGAGTGCTTGAAGAAGTGGTAGTCAGTTGGCAAGAAGTCAAGTGAATATGGTGGATGAGGCAAAGCATTGCAGCCCAATTCGTTCAACCTTTGAAGCGCTGGTTGCGTGACGTGTGGTCGGGCGTTGTCCCGGAGAAGAATTTGGCCCCTTCTGTGGATCAGCGCTGGCTGCAGGCGTTGGAGTTTTCAGTGCCTCTCACCGATTTGCTATGCGTACCTCTCCAGTGTAATGGTTTCGCCGGGATTCAGAGAGCTGTAGTGGATCAGACCAGCAGCCAGCCATCAAGCAGTGACCACGACCTTTTTTTGGTGCGAGTTTGGCTTTGGGAAGTGCTTTGGAGCTGCTTCTTGGTCCAGCCACTGAGCTGGTCGTCGCCAGTTGTCATGTAAAGTCCACTTTTCATCACACGTCATAATCTGATCGAGAAATGGTTCATTGTTGTTGTGTAGAGTAAGAGAAGATGACACTTCAAAATTTTTTTTTATTTTTGCTCAGCTCACGAGGCACCCTCTTATTGAGCTCTCTCACCTTTCCAGTTTGCTTCAAATGCTGAATGACCATAGAATGGTCGAGGCTGAGTTCTTTAGCCACTTCTCGTGTAGTTGTAAGAGGATCAGCTTCCATGATTGCTCTCAGTTGGTCATTGTCCAATGACAAATGGCTAGCCACGATGCTCATCTTCAAGGCTCTCGTCTCCTTTGCAAAATTTCTTGCCCTGGCACTGCACTGTACATTTGTTAGCAGTTCCTGGGCCAAATGGCGTTGTTGATGTTGTGAGTTGTCTCCACTGCTTTACTACCCATTTTGAATTTGAATGAGAAAATCACTTGAATTTGCTATTTGTCTAGCATTGTTTTCGTAGTCTAAACATAATAAGTCACTAGCAAAAAAAAAAAAAGCCCATTAAAATGATGTATGACATAATCACATCTATTAAAGAATATATTGGCTGGGCGCGGTGGCTCACACCTGTAATCCCAGCGCTTTGGGAGGCCAAGGTGGGCAGATCACGGGGTCAGGAGATCGAGACCATCCTGGCTAACACAAAGAAACCCCATCTCTACTGAAAATACAAAAAATTAGATGGGTGTGGTGGTGGGCACCTGTAGTCCCAGCTACTAGGGAGGCTGAGGCAGGAGAATGGTGTGAACCCAGGAGGCAGAACTTGCAGTGAGCCAAGATCGTGCCATTGCACTCCAGCCTGGGTGCTGGGTGACAGAGTGAGACTCTGTCTCAAAAAAAAAAAAAAAGAATGTATTCCAGGCCAGGTGCGGAGGCTCACACCTGTAATCCCAGCACTTTGGGAGGCAGAGGCAGGCGGATCACGAGGTCAGGAGATCGAGACCATCCTGGCTAACACAGTGAAACCTCGTCTCTACTAAAAATACAAAAAATTAGCAGGGCATGGTGGCGGGCACCTGTAGTCCCAGCTACTCGGGAAGCTGAGTCAGGAGAATGGCGTGAACCTGGGAGGCGGAGCTTGCAGTGAGCTGAGATTGCGCCACTGCACTCTAGACTGGGCGACAGAGCGAGACTCCATCACACACACACACACAGAATATATTCCAATATCAAATAGCAAATTCCAGCAATGCAAAAACGGCAATTACTTTTGCACTCACCTAATATTTTTCTTATTTTGTTATTGTAATGTTTGTGTTATTCCACAGGTTTTAAAGGTACCATAAGAAGGTGTTTATTTTCTAAAATATACCATAAGGTAGTTAAGGAATCAATGTATATGGTTTTACATTTTTAGCCAGAAGTTAAAAGAGAAGAAATTACTGGCAAAGAAGATGAAACTTGAACAGAAGAAACAAGAAGGTGAGTGGTGCCCACTTTTCTTGGCTGTAGCCTCTTTCTTGGTGTTGGTCACAGTGGCTGAACTGTCGGGAAACACAGGGATGGAGAGTTTGGGCTGGTTGGCTGGCCACTGAAGAAATAACAGCTTATTCATATTAGCTAGGACCCATTGAATTGCACGTATCAGAAAACCAAACTGGCTTAAGCAAAAAGATGCTGGCTCAAGTTAGGTCGAGGACAGACCTCCCTTCGGGCACGGCTGGTCAGGGAGATCAGTGACATTATTGGTTACTGACATCTACCCCTCTGTCCTGGTGTCCCGTCCTCAGGCCGCTCACACTCCTTGTGGTTTTGAGGTGCCTGCAGCAGCTCTTGGGGCTACATCCCTCCTCAATATTGTCCAGGAGGGAAAATTGAGAGGATGCCTCAACTTTCCTAGCCAAAAGTCTTTTTATGTCTCTCTGGCTCTGATTGAGTCACTTGTCAGATCAGGTAAGAATGCTTTTGACTACAAGCAACAGAATGCAGCAATGAAGTGCCTAAACCACGAGGAGTTGTTATTTTTTACAGGATGAGAAATCTGGTAGTAGGTGGCAGCGTGATGTGGCTCAGCCGTGTGGGCTGGCTCCCCCGCACATCCCTTGGCCTTTACCCCAAGGGTGTGGGGTGGCTGCCATGGCTTCTGGCACCATACCTGTGTTCAAAGCAGGAAGAAGGGGAGTAAGGTACTTATGTGGTCTGCCCCTTTTATATTGGAGAGCAAAAGTTTCTCCAGAAGTGCCCAGAAGACATCACCTTAAATACTAGGTCACTTTGCCATCCCTAGCTGCCATCAGGCTAGAGGAATAGAAAACAGAACTGTTGTAACCAACTCAAACCTATCGTGATCCAGCACTGCAAGCTGAGTACATTGCCGCCCCAGCCAGATTCGAGGTACCGTTAATAAGAAAGAGTCGGGGGCAGGATTGGCTGTTAGGTCAGCATCCCACCGTGCTGCCAATCCTGCTGCCTCTGAACTCATCACAACGCTAGGGGTGCTATCCCCCATCCCTGGGAACTCATGTACTGTGAATAAGGGAGGGGGGCCCCAGCTGGAAAGGGCCAAGGATGCTAAGAGACCAAAAAGTGACACTGTCCCCCACATGACTGAATCTGTGGCTATTCCCTGCTTGACCAGGTCTGCTTCCTGAGTGCATGATTGTGGTTTTTGGTTTTAGGGTGAAGTCAGACTTTCATTGATGTATTAAAATACAGTTGGGCTGGGCATGGTGGCCCATGCCTGTAAATCCCAGCTATTTGGAAGGCTGAGGCAGGAGAATGACTTGAACCCAGGAGGCTAAGGTTGCAGTGAGCCGAGATCGTGCCATTGCACTCCAGGCTGGGCAACAAGAGCAAAACTCCATCTCAAAAAAATAAAACAGGCCAGGCACAGTGGTTCATGCCTGTAATCCCAACACTTTGGGAGGCCAAGGCAGGTGGATCACCTGAGGTCAGGAGTTCGAGACCAGCCTTGCCAACATGGTGAAACCCCATCTCTACTAAAAATACAAAAATTAGCTGGGTGTGATGACAGGCACCTGTAATCCCAGCTACTTGGGAGGCTGAGGCAGGAGAATTGCTTGAACCTGGGAGGCATAGGTTGCAGTGAGCCGAGATTGTGCCATTGCACTCCAGCCTGGGTGACAGGAGCGAAACTCTGTCTCAAAAATAAATAAAATAAAATAAAATATGATTGGCCACTTCTAAGAACCGCTCCTTATGAGTTGTAAATGTACTATGTGACACATCGGATATGGTTTTAGGTTGTTTCTCACCCTCTCCTAGAAGAAATTATTTTAAACTGCTAAAATGTGACTGACAGGACCTCATCCCTCAAATAAACTACCTCATCACTTTCCACTCCACCGCAGCAGTAGATCATGGAAGAACTTGGCCCAAGGAGGAGGATTGGGCACAAAAGCTATTCTCACAATCTGTTGAGGGGATATTGTAGCTTGGACCTATTATATTTGGAAATTTGAGACCAGCCTGGGCAGCATAGCAAGACCCCATCTCTACAAACAATAAAAAAGTCAGCCAGACATGGTGGTGCACACCTGTAGTCCCAGCTTTTTGGGAGGCTGGGGCAGGAGGATTGCTTGAACCCAGGAGTGCAATACTAGTCTGGGCAACATAGTAAGACCCCTTCTCTACACAAAATTTTAAAAATTAGTCAGGTATGGTGGTGCATGCCTGTCATCCTAGCTACTCTGGAGGCTGAGGTGGGAGAGTCGCCTGAGCTGAGGAGGTCAAGACTGCAGTGAGCCATGATTGTGCCACTGCACTGCAGTCTGGGTGACAGAGCAAGATTCTGTCTCCAAACAACAACAACAAAAAGAATATATAAAAAAATAGGTCTCCTTTGCTGAGTGATTTGACCCTCCCTCCTCAGGGTTTGTTGGTTTTGCTGCTTATCATTGTCATTGTTGCTGTTTGTGTGTTTAGTGACTTTCCTAACAAATTCTGTAAAACCTGTATTCTTTGTTGTGTTTGGACTCTGAATTCTCTGCCTGGTTAGCTTAGTTGGTCACTGGAAGATGAGAGATTTCCTTGAATGTCTTGAACCACCAGTCTTTGGCAAAGACTGTCTCCCAGTCTTTGCCAAGGACCTCTGTGTGTGTGTTGGAATTTGCCTCCAACATGCTGGCAGGCAGTCTGCAATTTGCTGTAGCCTTTACTTCCTGCTTGCACAGAGCCTCCAGGGCAGCAGAAGTGAGCAGTCAGGGCCTTGGCTGGCTTTCTTGGGTATGTGCACTGTTCTGGTGGCCCTCTAGCGTCCCAGCTTTTCCTTTTAAGCTTTTTGGTCAGTTTCTTGTTTGTGTCAATTGTTACTGCTGTCTTGGTTGGTGGGATGTTAAACAGTTGTCACTGATGGTTTTTGACAAACGCCCAGGGGAAAAAGCTGTTCATGTTGAGTGAGCTGAACTCAATGCTGAGTCAGATCAACGGAAGACAAGCCTTGCAGGTAGACGTTTCCAGGGAACTGCCAGACAGGTCAACTAGGGCCAGTGCCCTGAGAATGGAACTTCCAACAGCCCCCAAACCAGTCAGCCTCCTCCCGTTTTTACAGCTACTGTGGCAGGGGGGCTCTTGGTTTTCAAGGCTCCTTCAGATCTGGGGAGAGGGGGACAGGAAATTAAAACCCACAGAGCTCGTGCTCTTAGTGAGGTTCAGGCATTTGAACAGTTCGAGGAGCATTTCCAGAGTTCTGAAAAGGTTGATTTTTAGGATGTTTGCCAGCGTTCTGTTACCTTTATGGAGAAGCAGATTTTTGGAGGCCCTTACTCTGCCATTCATCCCTTTGGATTTTTAACTTTCAAACAGCAGTGCATTTGAAGTGTGTTTCCTGTACGTCAAATGTTTGGGTCATGTTTTTAAATTCATTCTGACAGTCTATCTCTTTCTTGAAATGTTTGGATTCAAGGCTACCATTTTATTTGTTTTTTGTTTTCATTTTTGTGTTTTTGAAGCAAGATCTCACTTTGTCACCCAGGCTGGAGTGCAGCAGTGCAATCATGGCTCACAGCAGCCTCGAACTCCTGGTGGGCTCAAGCAATCCTCCTACCTCAGCCTCTTGAGTAGCTGGGACTGCAGGTGTGTACCACCATGTCTGGCTAATGTGTTATTTTTTTGCAGAGATGGGGTATCATTATGTTGCCCAGGCTTGTCTTGAACTCCTGGGCTCAAGTGATCCTTCCACCTCAGCCTCCCAAGTAGCTGGGACCACAGGCCTGTGCCACCACGCTCAGGTAATTTTTGTATTTTTTATAGAAACTGGGTTTCTCTGTTTCGAACTCTTAAGCTCAAGTGATCTTCCCGCCTTGGCCTTCCAAAGTGCTGGGATTTCAGGCGTGAGCCACCATGTGAGGCTGTCGTGCTTTTTCTCTGGCTGCTTGCTTTTTTTTTTTAAGATGGAGTCTTGCTCTATCACCGAGGCTGGAGTGCAGTGGTGTAATCTTGGCTCACTGCAACCTCTACCTCCTGGGTTCAAGCAGTTCTTCTGCCTCAGCCTCCCTGATAACTGAGATTACAGGCACGTACCACCATGCCCAGCTAATTTTTGTATTTTTGGTAGGGATGGGGTTTCACCATGTTGGCCAGTCTGATCTCGAACTCCTGACCTCAGGTGATCCCCCCACCTCGGCCTCCCAAAGTGCTGGGATTACAGATGTGAACCACCACACCTGATCTTAGTTCTATTTTTAATTTTTGGGTAATCACCATACTCTTTCATAGTGACTGAACCATTTTATATTCCCACCAGTGCAAAAGGGCTATAATGTCTCCACATCCTCACCAACACTTATTTTCTGTTTTTTGGGGTTTTTTGTTTTGTTTTTAGGTAACTATCCTAATGGGTGTGAAGTGGTATCTCACTACAGTATTGATTTGCATCTCCCTAATGATTTGTGATGTTGGGCATCTTTGTTTTTATTGTTGTTTTGTTTGTTTTTGAGACAGAGTCTCGCTGTGTTGCCCAGGCTGGAGTACAGTGGCACGATCTCGGCTCACTGCAACCCCTGCCTCCACCACGCCCGGCTAATTTTTGTAGTTTTAGTAGAGACGGTGTTTCACTGTGTTGGCCACACTAGTCTCAAACTCCACCCACCTCAGCCTCCCATAGTGCTAGGATTACAGATTTGAGCCACCACGCCCAGCCAGCACTTGAACATATTAAAAAATGGTTAATACCCCATGATTGTACATGCTTTGTACCAAACGGGAAGAATAGAGCGTTCTAAGGATAACCGTCATAAAAGTGGTTTGGGCTTGGACTCATTGGCTCATGCCTGTAATCCTAACATTTGGTAGGCCAAGGTGGGAGGATCGCTTGAGCCCAGGAGTTTGAGACCAGCCTGGTCAACAAAATGAGACCCCCATACCTACAAAATGTTTCAAAATTAGCGAGTTGTGGTGGTGCGCACCTGTAGTCCCAGCTTCTTGAAAAGCTGAGGTGGGAGGATGACTTGAGCCCAGGTGGC